TCAAAATAGTTTTAAGAACTTCCTTACTTTCTGGTGCAAAAAGATACACCAGACCCAGCTTATACATTTCCTGACACAGATCTAGAATTTCTACCAAGGACATTAGTTCTTTTTAAAGAGGAGTGAGTCTGGATACTAGGCTGGCTCATTAACATTGATTGTTACTACTCCTAGGCCTTTTCAGTGGACAGAGTTAACTCAGTATTTTTAAAGTAAATAAATGTTTCTAGATTAGAAGCAAACCTTGGCCATATTGAAGAGGCCAATTGTTTATTGAATGGTGTTTTATAAAAGTTTTCCAAGTATTACCTGACGTTGTTTCCAAAAGTCATTTCCCCCTTATATAACACAATCTTTGCTCCTAAATTGAGATATTTTTGCATAAGATCTTTGTTTAGCCATTTTCTGTGTAATTGTTACTGTAACTCACTGCTAGCTCAGACAATTGCTCTTATATTTTGACTTTCATTAAATTTGAAAGGGATCTTTTATTAGGCTGTCATCATTTGAATGAACATGCATATATAGTGTTGTGCCTTCTCCCTACTGACACAGTTCATTATTTTCCAGACTATATGATGCAAACTTCAAGTCAGGAAGGAAGAATGATTCAATTCAATAAAGTAGTGATTAAGCATTCATCAGATAAGCATTTACTGGGGACCTGCCATAGGTTAGCCATTGCGGAGAACACAGAATGATTAGTCATAATCCTTTCTGGCAGGAAGCTTATCCATAAGTAGAATAGATTAGGTGAGAAAGATACTGATTGGACACCAATAGAAGTTCCTAGGACAACATCTTATTACCCTCTAAACTGATAGTTAAAAGAAAAGAATTAAACATTTATTCTGCTGGTATGAATTGTATTTCAAGTATTCTAATACCTGTAGTGGGGGTGGCTGAAGGAAAGTTATTTACCATACCTAAGAATATTAATGTTAGTGGAAGTTGAAACTTTAAATAAATGTGACTTATGGAGCACTTATTTTTATAGAAAGCAATAACCTGGCTGGGCTTGGTGGCTCATGCCTATAATCCCAGTACTTTGGGAGGCAGAGGTGAGAAGATTGCCTGAACCCATGGGTTCAAGACCAGCCTGGACAACTTGGTGAGACCTCATTGCTATGATAAAAATAAATTAGCCAGGTGTGGTGGCGTGTGCCTCTGGTTCCAGCTACTTGGAAGGCTGAGGTGGAAGGATGGCCTGAGCCCAGCAGGTCGAGGCTGTGGTAACCGTGAACATGCCACTGCACTCCAGCCTGGGCCATAGAGTGAGACTCCAACTCAAAAAAAAAAAAAAAAAGAAAGAAAGTAATAACCTATTGAAAGTCAGTATTCTAGAGGGTAGTCATATGGAAATGATACATGTGAATTAGAGATCCCTTAAAGGGTACTGAGGAAAATAAGGATGCCCTGCTTATCCCAATGTATTTCTAACTGTAAGAAGTTGCCATCTCAGAGTGACAAATGTCAAACTACTGGCTTGAAATGACAAATATGCTGACCCAGAGAAGTATTTTTTAAAATGTTCTCTTTGTTCTCAAAAATAAATTGTCAGTGCATCACAGAAGGTTTTCAGTAAACTTGACCAAAGGAAAGAGAGAGCTAATTATGCCCAGAAGTTGGATATGAACTTTTTAATAGATAATTGTAGTTTAGAAATTAAAGTAAGAAATGAGAAAGTGTTAGCTAGAGATCATACATATTTTGTATAAGCCAGAGTTTGACTCCCATTAGAGTCTTCTAGTATTAAGAAATTTAGTCAGAGTTTGAGGTTCATTAAATTTATTATATGCCTTCTTTGTGAAAAACATGATGCTAGGCATTCCAGAGATTGGGATGGAGATGGGAGAAAGTAGCAAGACATAGATACCAAATGGAGATGGGAGTAGGGGAGGAGAGGAGAAGGGAACAGGATGAGTAAAACACATCCTCAACAATTAAATTGTTTGTAATATAAAACAGATTTGTAAGAATTTTCTGCAGTGTGAAATCATAATACAGAATGAAAAAAGTACTGAAGTGAAATTACAGACCAGATGTTTAAGAGCGTGAAGGATGAAGAGATTAATCCTGAATGGTGGGTGATTAGGAAAGACTTCAAGGAGGAGGTGGCACTTGAACTAAACCTTGAAAGAGGACAGGAGCCCTCGTGGTAGCAATATAAGAAGGGCATTCCAGTAGAGGGAATGGCCTACTCCAGGGAATTGAAGAATGTGATGGGAAATGAATCAGAAAAATTAGGATTAGGGCCAAATTGTGAAAGTCCACAGATATCTCATTAACTAGTCTGCATTTTAGTTGTCTGTCTTTTAGCATCTTTCTCTGGACCAACAACCTTTATTTTATATTCCATTGTATACTCTGTCAATAAATGACAGTGTTTTTCTCCTTTACATTTCAGGAAATAAACCCCTCTTTACAGTCTCTTTTATAGTATCTCACTGTATAACTCTTCCTTGTATGTCAGTTGGCTGATTTTTAAATTTTTCTGATAAGAGAAGTTGTTAGTACTATTAATTGGCATTTGTTATTTTCTACAAAAATTATGCCTATCTGAATATATTAGCATTCAGTGTTACTGTGAGTTTTTCAGGGAATACTCAAATAATACTTATGAATATCACTTAGCATAAATAGGATAAGAGTTATACCTCCCTGGTATCTTATTTCCTCTACTATATTTGTAAATTTGATATTTTAAGTAGCCTGTTTGCTAAATTGTGGGAAAGATGTTTTATTCTTGAATCTGTATTTCTTGCAAATTCTATAATCTCATATAAAGAATAGTATATTATTATCATTATTATTTTGAGTTGGGTTCTCACTCAGTCTGCCCAGGCTGAAGTGCAGTGGCGAGATGACAGCTTACTTTAGGCTCGACCTCCTCGACTCAGATTATCCTTCTGCCTCAGCCTCCTGAGCTAGGAATACAGGTGTGCACCACCATGTCCAGCTAACTTTTTTTTTGTAGAGACAAGGTCTCACTATGTTGCCTAGGCTGGTCTCAAACTCCTGGGCTCAAGTAATCTTCCTGCCTTGGCCTCCCAAAGTGTTGGGATTACAAGCATGAGCTACTATGCCTGGCCATTATTCTTTATTGTTTAGCAAAATATTGTTGCTAGTAGTTGGTGAGTAATAAAATATCTTAAAGTTTATGTAAGAGTGATTCAGTTTTGGTTTTCAAATATTTGATTCTTCTCATCTATTCAAATGTTGTATGAATTTTTATTGGGATTTTTCTAATTTGCAGACTTCATGGTAAATTTGAAAGATGATATAAGTCCTTTGTGGATGTGATTTTACTCCTATTATCAAAGAACATTATAGGAAAGCCCTTTTTCAAGAATTGAGATGTTTAAAGTTTTTTTCAATGGACTTTGTACTAGTACCAAAAATAGTATTGTATTCAATTGACATGATCATTGATATCTCTTTAAAAATTTGGTCAGATTTTTGTTTTTGTCTTTTCCTGTACTCACTTCCCAGTGTTTTACAGCTATATCTTTCTTTGTTCTATTTTCCCTATATTTACCACACAATTGCCAACTGTATCATTTCAACACAGGGCTTGTCCTACTTGGGCTAAGTGTTCATTTTCTTGAATTCTTATGACACACTGGATTGTATCTCAGACCTAGATTTATTTAGATGTTGAATTTGACAGTGAGAGATTGTTGTTAAATTAGAAATGGAACTGATCTAGTATGCCAGTCCTGAATTATTTCCCAACGTAGATGTTGTATTTTTCTGCTGTGGTTTTTGCTATGAGCCATAAGTCCGCTTATTGATTTCAGTGAGTCAGTCAATCTACATCTGTGTATTGATCAACTCTTGGATGCAAACCACATATCATTCTCCCCTATCTTTCCCCTGAACTTTAGATGGGCATATTCTACTGCCAAGGAGACATTTCTACTTAGCTATCAGCTATCTCAAAGTTAACATGGTCAACAACAGCCTCTTAATTTCGTCACTAATTCATTCCTCCTTTTGTTTATTGATCTTAGTAAATGGCACCACTATCCACTCAGTTATTCAAGCCAAAAACATAGGACTTATTCTTGAATTCTTGATTTCCAAATGTATTTCCCCACCCTATCCCAACTAAGTCGTCAGTGAGCCCTGGTGACTCTTCCTCCAGACAGGATCTAGTGTCTGCCTACAGTCCTCCGTTCTGCTACTGCCACTCCAGGTGAAGGCCCCCTGTCACTTTCCTGGATTTCTGCTCCTCCTACTAGCCTCTCCCAGTTTTACATTTTACATTTACATTTACATTTTATAGTACATTCTCCACAAGTAACCAGAGTGGCCTTTTTAAAGTGTGAGAGAGGTTGTGTTAATTTTTTGCTTTAATCTCTCCAAAGGCTTCCCATCTCCCTTAAAATAAAACCAAGCTGCTCGCCAGCTTGTGTGGGATCTGGCCTCTGTTGTTCTCTCCTCTCTCCTGTTTACACCACTCACTTCTCTTCCCCTGCACTCCAATCATGCTGACCTTATTTCTTCTCTGACTCACCAAGCTGGTTCTGGCCTTGGAGCCCTTACACAATTATTTCCTTTTGCCTAGAATGCTTTGCCTTTTCTCATCAATGGAAAGTAAAGTAAATTAAGTAATCACTCTTTCGCACACAGAGAAGTCTATTAAAAGTGGCCTGTTTTATTGTCTTCAATTTTCACAGCACTTCTCGGTACATAAAGTTATCTTTTCATTGTTTCTATTCTGCCTCCTCCCCCGAGACACACTCTCACTAGAATATGAAGACTGTAATGCCAGTGACCTTGTCATGTTTACTTTTGTGTCCCCAGCATCTGGAATAGTGCCAGGCACATAGTAGCTCTCCAGTGAGTATTGAATGAATAGTGCTTGAATGAACTGTGACAAATAGCATCTGGGTTTCCATCAACGGTAGTATTGAAATGGTTCTTTTGATGCCATATAGCATTATTTTGTTAATAGGGTAACAGAGTTGTCTATTTCTCTCTTGTTTATGTTTTAGATATGAAGCCCCGCAGATTGCCTTACGTTGTGGGATTATGCTGAGAGAATGTATCCGACATGAACCACTTGCCAAAATCATCCTCTTTTCTAATCAATTCCGAGATTTCTTTAAGTATGTGGAGTTGTCAACATTTGATATTGCTTCAGATGCCTTTGCTACTTTTAAGGTAATTTTTTTTTTCTGAATCGGCTAAGTCATTTAGCTAAAGTCAATTCGCCTCTGAAGAGGCTATTTCATTTTTAAAAAAGGAAAAAATTTTATTCCTGAGGTCTGAGCATAGCTAACCATGTATGATGTGGATCATAAGAGGCATCGATCTGTGAATAGAATGCAGTCTATGCTGCCTGTCTGTCACCTTATGGGAAAACAACTCAAAAGATTTGTTACAGGCTCGTATGAAATGAATTCCAATATATCCAGTTAAATGACTAAAGGGACATGTACTCTCTATATAGAGTGTTGTTAATTTTGTTAAAAAACAAAGGGTATAAGCTTCCATGTAGGGTACAGGTGGCCTGCATACCTCTGTAAAGATATATGAAAAACAGCAACAGTGATTATTTCCAGGGAAAGGACCTAAGTACTGAGGGAAGATGGAGAATCACATCTTTGAATATGAAGGATATCACGTTATTTTGAACATAATTTTAAAATTTGTATGCAGTAAAACACAATACTACTAAATCATGTTGTAGGTTTTTTTGAATCATCTGTACTTTTACCATGTATTATCTACTTTGACAATATATAGGAAATAAGTTACACATATTCACATTATTGTGCAACCAGCTACCTCTATACCCGTTAAACAACAACTCCCTGTTTTCCCTCCACCCAGTCTCTGGTAATCACCCTATTTTCTGTTTCTGTGTTTTATCATCAAAAAGATGTTTGAAGAACAAAATCATGAATTTCGCAGCAACCTGGATGGAACTAGAGTCTATAATACTGAGTGACCTCTCACAGAAACAAAGATCCGAGTATCACATGTTCTCACTCATATAATGGACCTTAAGCATCCAATGCAATACTATACAAAAATGACTGACAGTACTGGAAACCATGGGGGGGGAGATGGGATTAACAGTAGCAAATATCTGTCTGGGAACGGGGAAATACCCCATATCAACAGGGTGCCTGAATGAAACGCAATTGTATACCTAACCCTTAAACTGTACCCCACAACTTCATAATAAAAAATAAATAAATAATTTAAAAAAAAAAAAAGATGTTTGAGAACATATCAGAAAATCATGTAACTAGTTTGCAAACAGAGACCAGAATTTGTACCTCCCATGAGTGATATTATCTTCCGTATTTCTATTTTAGAAAACTACTTATGCTTGGGATCCTGCCATTATTTAATGCATTTTGAAATTAATGTCAATGTCTGTGACGTGTTTATTTTTTGATAATGGGAAATCTTTTTCTTTCAAGGGCAGGTAAAAGATTTGGAAACAAAAACACTATTTGACATTCAAGTTAATGTAAAAATGGGTAATCAAGTTCCCTAGAACTATTTTTTGGAATAATGTTAATTGGGATAAAAATAACTTCTAAGGTTGGGCATGGTTGCTCGTGCCTGTAATCCCAGGACTTTGGGAGGCCAAGGTGGGAGGATTGCTTGAATTTCGAGGAGTTTGAGACCAGCCTGGGCAACACAGTGAGATCTTGTCTCTACAAAAAGTAAAAAAATAAGTCGGGTGTGATGGTGCACACCCGAAGTTCCAGCTACTCAGGAGGCTGAGGCAGGAGGATCACTTGAGTCCAGGAGGTTGAAGCTGCAGCGAGCCATGATAGTGGCACTGCACTCCAGACTGGGCACCAGAGTGGAACCCTGACTCAATACATAAATAGGTAAATAAACTTTAAGATGACTAAAACAGAGTCTGATTTTCTTCAGTGTCTACCAGATTGGCTCTCAAGGCCATTTTAGAAGTGGGATTCCAAAAATATAAACTGATGATATAACTGCATCATTGAAAAATATAGGTTTTCAGGTTGAATATAAACTAGATAAGACTCATTTACATGTATATTTGTATTTGGATTGATTTCTTTAAAAACATTTTAGCAATTTAATTGTTTTATTTACATACTTCCAAATTTATTCTTTTTTTCCTCAGGGTATAAATATATACCTTTTTTCTTTTTTAATCATCTTTACTTAAGTGCAACTCATGTACGACTTTTTTATTTTTCACACATTATCTTAAATACATATGTCAACAATATTGATGTAGTTTCTATATTAATATTTCTAAATATTAATATATATTATGTATAAATATTAATATGTATTAACATTACTAGATACTCTAATCTTATTACTTTATGGACAGAATTTGAAAGTTGCCTATGTCCTGGAAGAGAAATAGTTCTTTATAAATAGCTTTCCAGAGCCAGAAAAAAGGGAACGCAGTTGTTTGCTGTGTGAAAATGACCTCTTATTTGCAGACTAGGAATTTATGCAGCCTGTTCTGAGAAGGTGCCATAAATCTCTTGAAAGGTATATTATGTCACATGGTCTCAGGAAGTGTGAGTGAGGGTCAGGAGAGGGTTAAAGAAAGCCTGGCAAAGGGGAAGGGATCGCTTGATCCCCGTGGAGGTGGAGCCTGCATGTGGGCAGTGAGGGAGACTTGCTCAAGGAGTCAGCAGCCTGCGACACAGTCTGTAAAGACAACCAAGACATCCCTGGAAGTATAATGGGCTGAGGACAATTGTATTGACAAGAACTCCTGTGAGAGAGAATGCTGGTTGAGAATGATGGGAATATCTGGAAGCCACTTGACTTGGAGTTGGGGGCAGATTCCAGCAGCTTAAGCAGCAACACTGGTTGTTATGGCTGCCTGTGAGGGAGGAGGGTGGGCCCAGTGAACTGTGTTCAGTTTTGCTGTCACAAACTGGATGTGCAGGGTTGGGGCCAGTGCTGAACTGCCCAAGCCAGTAGAGGAAAGGAGCTGTGTGCCATCATTTTCCTAAAGCCCCAGCTAAGCCTACACTCAACATGATGATTTGAAGGCAGGGAGATCCCAGCCTGCTCAGGTGTCCACATTTCTCCATCCAGCCTGAAGACCCCCAAGTTCTCCCTGAGGAAAGAGGAGATGAAGGGCCCATAGTGTAGGTCTGGGTAGACAGAAAAGGGCCAGGGAAAGAAAGAGAAGGGGAGAAGGGGGATTAGAGGAGGAGTATGAAGAGGTGTGGAGTAAGGAAACGGAAATCCAGAGAACAGCAGAACGAGGGAAGGACCAAGCAGGAGGCAGGAGAGGCTTGGAGAGGAACTCCAAGGAAAGGTGACTGCTGGGTGGAGAGGGGGACTGAAGCCAGTGGCAGGGCTCTGTGCTCTGGGTGTTGTGAAACCCCGGGAGGCATGCAGTCTTCCTTGGCAAGACAAAAAGTGTCCAGTGGCTACAGAGGAGCCCCAAAAGGGTAATCTGCAGCACGTGGTGAGATAGGCCTCAGCTGCACCAAACGTGAAGAATGACATTAAACACAAAAGATGATTCCATTTCTTTCTAGCAAAATATCTGTGCCTAAACTACTAAGGAAGTGTTTTCTAATAATAGATACTTAAGTTCCATTTTTTCCCTCTTCTGTCAGATGGCTCTGTGCTGTCATGGAAACAAGTTAGCTCCTTTAAAAAAAAAAACAAACCATAAGTACGACTTCAAATAATTGCAAACATAGAAAAAGCTCTAATGGAGGAGAAAAGCAAATACTTAATGAGTATGTATTTCTGAACATTTCCCCAAAGATTTCCCAATGTTTAATAGAATAAAATGTATTTGATAATAGTTTCTTTCGATCATATATTCAGCCTAATTTAATTTTCAACAATATTGAATCACAAAAATAAATTATGATGTTTAGATTTGTATTTCAGCTGATTTTCAGTTGTACTTAGGTCAGTTCCTTGAAAATCTAAATAACCATGAAACGTTTTTTAGTATGTTGCCAATATTGAAGCATGAATATTCTCTATTTCACCAAAATGCTTATGGTTAATATAATGTAACAATGACCATAAGTCATATATAGTTATATATTTTTTTGAGTCAGGGTCTCACTCTGTCGTTCAGGCTGGAGTGCAGTGGTAAGATCACGGCTCACCACAGCCTCAACCTCCTGGGCTCAGGCAGTACTTCCACCTCAGCCTTCCAAGTAGCTGGGACGACAAGCATGCACCACATTGCTCAGTTAATTAAAAAAAATTTTTTTGTAGAGACTAAGTTGCTCAAGTTGGTCTTGAATCCTGAGTTCAAGCAATCCTCCCGCCTCGGCCTTCTAAAGTGCTGGGATTGTAGGCATGAGCCACTGTGCCCAGCCTTATTTTATTTTATTTTTTTAAGTAGCTAGTTCCAAAGAGTTTTATTTGTTTGGTTGATTGATTAATTTTTATTTTGGGTCTGGCTCTTGTTTCTTTTTAACCTCTTAGACTCATCTTTTTTTGCTTTGATCTCTAAGGTGACTTTTGCCCAGTGTAATCATAAATATTTTAACAAAAACATTTTGTTTTTGTCTACCAGTAGTCCTATCCCAAAAAAGAGTCCTTACAACCACAATCGTTTTTTCATCCCTCAGTAGAAATCTCCATAATAGAAGTGGTTTGAATTTCATCTCTCTCTGCCACCTGATGAGCTCTGTGTCCTTGAACAATTTAGTTTACTTTGGGGTTTTATTTTCCTCATCTGTGAAATGAAGAAAATAATCCCTTCTTTGCAAAGTTGTTGTGAAGATTAGAAACAACATCTGTAAAGTGCTCAGTACACTCCATAGTGCATAGTCAGCCCTCTAAATGGCAACTGTCACTGGCTCGTGAGTCACTCTACCCCGAGTTTATCCCAAGCAGAATTCACAAAAAAAATCAATAGCAGATTTTTTTAGCATGATATTTATACTTTGCCAAATGAAACCCTGTCAAAATGGAATTATTAAACGGTGGATGAAAGAGTATCCTATTTCAAATAATATTTTTAAATTTTAATTCTTTAAAATTTGAACTTGAGTCTTCTCTGCAATTTTCTGTGTTTTCTTTCTTGGATAGGATCCTAGATATTTTTTGCAGTTTTTTCCCCCCATTCACTTATATATCTATAACAGTGCAGCAATTTTTATCTGTGTATTACTGTATGTAAGCATATGTGTATGTCTGTGTGATATCATTCTTCCTGTTTTGTGCACACATTTATTATCTACCTACGTTTGAGGGTGTTTCTGTGTATATATCTTACATGCACACTAAGTGTAAATATGCGGGTGGATGTGTATGAGAGAGAGTGTGCATCTATCGTATATACACTGGAGGAATTCTACCCTACCATATTCTATTTTCCTTTTATTGGATTTTTAAGTTATTTTGAGTTTCTTTTTTCCTCTGGAATTTGAAATTTCTGGTTCTAGCAGAACTCTCTCCTGATTTCTTTTTCTTTAGGATAACACTAACATGCGGTGCAGTCTTTCCAGGCAGTATTGGTCTTTTTATTGCCCCTGTGGGTGTGTGTACAGGGACTGGAGCCCTAGCCCCACTTTCAAAGCTGATGACTGTGGTAGCAGGTGGAGAATTCCTGTGGGTGCAGCAATCCCCAGTGTCTGCTGCAGCCCGTGGACAGTCAGAGAGACAGCCAGAGAGACAGTCAGAGAGAGAGAGGGAGGGAAGGAGCGAGAGAGGGAAGGAGGGAGGAAGGAAGGGGAGAGGGAAGGGTGGGAGGGAGGGAGGAAGGAAGGAAGGAAGGAAAGAAGGAAGGAAGGAAGGAAGAGGGAAAAGGAAAGGAAAATATTGGGGCCTTCAAAGGATACTATGGAAACACCTTCTTCTCCCAGAGGTCTCCTGATGCAGCAACTAGTTTGAATCATGACCTAGAAAGGCAGAGGATGGCACCCCCATTTTAAAACTCCAGTTCCAGAATAGTACTGGTGCTCTGCTTCCCGGGAGAGGGGGGGTGAGCGGAGGGTAAGGGGCAGGAAAGCACTGTGTTTCCATTGATAGGCCTAGTCAAGTTGTGTGATGAAAAGTAATAGGAAATTATAAGTCAGTTTTATTGTTTTTCAACTTGAAAATGATGGTAGTGCACAAAATTAAAGGAGAAATAAGTAGATTTTACCATTGTTGCTGCTTGCCTTTTCCCTGTGAGATTATCTTCTATATGCTTTTAGGACAATTTTAATTAAATATGTATTAAAGTACTTAAAATTCTTATGTGTTTAATTAAATTCTGCATGGCGTCTTGCTAGGGTATTTGGCCTCTAAGTATACAAAAGGGATTAAGTAAGGCTTGTTTTCTTTCCACAAGGTGAATTAAGGATACAATTTAGGCATGAGTTGAAGACAGTCAAATGTTCCTTCATGCTTTTGTTCAATTTTCTGCAAGTTTATATCTGCAGTAAGATAGGGCTACTTGTCTTCAACTTTGAAAGGATACATTGTGCTACTTAGTAGCTCGTACATTAACCCTAGAGCAGGAAGATACTGACTGCTAAATGTCATTCCTGTGTTTCCCACTATCTAAGGTGCCTTCATTTTAAAGTGGTTAAGAAAAAACAAAAGGTTAAAATCCTTGAAACATCTGTTAAATTAACTTGTGAGTCATAGTTTTAGGTCTTTCAGAGATTTTTAAAATTTAAATTCAAATTTTAGAGTTGTAGGGCGCATGTGCGGATTTGCTATATAAGTAAATTGCGTGCAGGTGAGGGTCTGGGCTTCTAGAGAGCCCTCTCTCCCTCTGGTAGTGGATGTGGTACCCAATGGTGGCTGTGTGTCCCTTATGCCCCCTTCCTCCCTCCTTCATCAATGCCCAGCATCTGTTGTTCTTGCCTTTCTGCTCAGGTGCCCAATGTTTAGGGCCCGCATATGAGTGAGAACAAGTGGTAATTTTTTGTTTCTGTGATAGTTCACTTAGAATGAAGGTCTCCAGCTGCATCCATATTGCTGCAAAGGACATGACTTTGTTCTTCTTTATGACTGTGTAGTATTTCATCTTGTATATGTACCACATATTCTTTATTCAGTCTACTTTTTTTTTTTTTTTTTTGAGTTGGAGTCTCACTCTATCACATAGACTGGAGTGCAGTGGCCGCTCCCGGCCACCGCAGCCTCAACCTGCTGGGCTCCAGCGATCCTTCTTCCTCAGCCTTCCAAGTAGCTGGAACTACAGGCATGCGCTATCACGCCCGGCTAATTTTTTGATTTATTGTAGAGATGAGGTCTCACCAAGTTGCCCAGGCGGGTCTTGAACCCGCGGGCTCAGGCAGTCCACTCACCTCAGCCTCCCAAAGTGCGGGATTACAGTCTGAGCCATCGAGCCTGGCCTTCAGTCTACTTTTGATGGGTACAGAGTTCTTTTTTAAAAAAATTAATGGCATTTGGAAAAAGATCACCATAAACTTTATTTGAATATTGATCATATTATAATCACAATGTAGAGTTTATGGCTTGAAAAAATATGCTATAAACTCATCTCTTAAGTTCCATTTGATCGCCAATTCAAGTTTTCTATCATAAATCTAACGATGATATGAATTTAAAATATTAAGTTTAAGACTAGCTTTTTTTTTTTCTTTTGTAATATGAAACAAATGTATTTCACATTTGAAACTAAGGTAGAAATGTGGATTATTTTGTGGTGTAAATGAAAATGTTCTTCTGCAATTTTTGTGTGTTCATAAAACCTTAGACATATTTGTATAATTTATTAGCTATAATAATTTTGTTTCACTTGGCTGTTCTTTTTCTAGGATTTACTAACCAGACATAAAGTGTTGGTAGCAGACTTCTTAGAACAAAATTATGACACTGTAAGTAGAAATCAGTTTTTAACCATTTTTACCTCTTTCTCTTTTTTTTTCTTTCTCTTTACCTCCTAGATCTATGAGCAGTTGCCCTATTAATCATCCATAACCATACCCTTGATTATCTGTTTACCTGGAAACCAGGTCATCAGGAAACTTTATGGAAAGTTGAGGATGGCAGGAAGTCAGGACTTTCTTCTTTTTCATCTCTTCCTGTTGTGCTCTTATGCTCCAAGAAATGACCAGCACCTGCTTGCCTTGAACTTGTGTTAAGAGTAGCCATGTTGCCCTTAAGAGGCAGTAGGGAACTCCAAATGGAAGAGCACCCCACCCTTATTAAAATAAGTCATTCTCCTCAGTTGATAATCCATTCTGCTTTCTAGTAGCAATGCCAAAAATAGGTATGTCTTTCAGCTCCATTCCCTGACCATGACTCCAATTCATCCTTTTGAGATTTGGCTGAAGTCACTAGTGCAGCTTTTGGTTGCTTTTGTCATTATTATCATTATTATTATTTTGAGTCGAAGTCTCACTCTGGTTGCCCAGGCTGGAATGCAACCAGAGTGCATGGCCATGCACGGCCATCAACCTGCTGGACTCAGGCAATCCTTCTGCTTCAGCCATCCTAATAGCTGGAACAGGCATACACCACCATGCCCAGCTAATTCTTTGATTTACTGTAGAGAGAGATCTCACCATGTTGCCCAGGCTGGTCTCTAACCCGTGGGCTCAGGCAATCCTCTCGTCTCCTCCTCCGAAAGTGCTGAGATTATAGGCATGAGCTGCCGTGCCCAGCTGTTAATTTTTTAAATGGAGAATAATGATTGTACGTATTTCTAGGGCACATCTGATATTTTGATACATACACATTATTTGATATAATGTATCATCATCAAATCAGGGTAATTAGGATTTCTGTCACCTCAAACAGTTATCACTTCTTTGTGCTGGGACCATTCCCCCTCCCCACTGCCCTTCCCAGCCTCTGGTCATCATCATTTTACTGTAGGGTGAATCATTTTATTGCCAGAGGTGTCCCCAAACTTCAAGACTAGAAGGAAATAATCTATTTTTGAACTTAGGAAATGAACTGCTATATAGTTGGATTGTTCAGTAAACATATATGCTAGATGGACTATCAAGGAAAGATTAATTAGAGGTTACATTTGTAATAAATGAAAATAAATGAAGGCTAAGATAGCATATGACAAAATCTGTAGTATCAACTAACTGCTCATCTTTCCTATAGAATGAGTGAGATAAATGCTTTACATCCAGTAATAATACATGACATTTTGAGTGACTAATAAACTCATTCTGTTTGGCTCCTTACTTAACTAATTTTATTTTATTTTATTTTGAGTTGGAGTCTCACTCTGTTGCCCAGACTGGAGTGCAGTGGCCACTACTGGCCACCCCAGCCTCGACCTGCTGGGCTCTGGTGATCCTTCCGCCTCAGCCTTCCAAGTAGCCGGAATTACAGGCATGCGCTACCACGCCCGGCTGATTTTTTGATTTATTGTAGAGATGAGGTCTCGCTGCCCAGGCGGGTCTCGAACCCATGGGCTCAGGCAATCCACTCACCTCAGCCTCCCAAAGGCGCGGGATTACGGGCTGAGCCACCGAGCCCGGCTAACTAATTTTCTTTTTGTATTTGTGTGCCACATCTTGTGTAATTTGCTGGTTTCACAGACGCCGAGCCTATTGCTTTGGCCTGAATACTAGCTCTTAGAACTCAGGCCCCCTCAATCTCCTCATACTTCTTTAGTTATGTATTTTCCTAGCATTAAACCATGAAACTGAGGCACATGCTATAAGACTCTAAAATAATGAAACTGGCAGTTTGGGGAGCCAATCACACCTTGTCCATGTTTACATTTTATAGTTACAATTAAAATTTATTATAAGGTTTGTCTGATAAATTTAATGGTCCAAAAAAATTATCCTTGTGTTTCAGGACAGAATAAATAAGTCATTTATATAAAAGAGTATAATTAGTAGTGATTTCAATGTGAGCTTCATATTTTTAATTTTACTTTTCACTTTCTGGATCCTCTATTGCTAATTACCGTCTGCGTGGCCCCTTACACATGTGTCGCACCCCTGGCCCTTGGCTTTCTGAGGGTGATACTGTTCTCCACCCTCTAGTTCCTGAGCTCTCTTGCCTTCCCTCAGGCTGTGCTGGCTCCTCCCACTTTAGTGGTCTCTGTGCTGTGCACTTACACATGGTGGGAGGTGAATGCTGAACTTCCCCAGCTCAGACACTCTGTGTGAAATCGAAGGGCCCAGATCATGATAGGTGACCTGGTAGTGAACAGGAGAAGCCCAGGTATAACCTCTGGCAGGAATGGACATGCTCCAGAGAGGCCAGTGGGATTAGCATGGCCATTATGCAGCAGAGGTCACCTCATTCCTTACCTGTTCTTGTGTGATTAATTTGACAGTCTGATTCTTTTTTTTTTTTTTTTTTGAGTGGGGTCTCACTCTGTTACCCAGGTTGGAATGCTGTGGCATAATCATGACTTACCACAGTCTTCCTGGGCTCAAGTAATCCTTCTGCTTCAGCCTCCTGAGTAACTGGGACTACAGGTATACACCACTATGCCCAGCTAATTTTTGGATTTTTTTGTAGAGATGAGGCCTCCCTATGTTTTCTAGGCTTATCTTGAATTCCTAGGCTCAAGCAGTCCTCCTACCTTGGCCTCCCAAAGTGCTGGGATTACAGTTGTGAGCCACTACACCTGGCCTTGCCAAGTGAAGTTCTAAGTGTATTTAATCTTTTCTCAAATTGTTTGTGGACCTATACCTACTAGCAAGATTTCTTTAAAATGGCATAAAATGAGTTATCTTGCAACTTTTTTTTTTTTTTGAGTTGGAGTCTCACTTTGTTGCCCAGACTGGAGTGCAGTGGCATGCTCCTGGCCACCGTAGCCTCGACCTGCCGGGCTCTGGCAATCCTTTCGTCTCAGCCTTCCAAGTAGCCGGAACTGCAGGCACATGCTACCACGCCCGGCTAATTTTTGATTTATTGTAGAGACGAGATCTTGCTAAGTTGCCCTGGTGGGTCTTGAACCCACAAGCTCAGGCAATCCACTCGCCCTGGCCTCCCAAAGTGCTGGGATTACAGGCTGAGTCTGGCCTCTTGCAGCTTTTAATAGATGTTTTATTCAAAATGATTTATTGGGAGGACTCAAAATTACTCCATTTTTCTACTTCATTTCTAATTTGCAGAACTCAGGTAAAATAGAGAAGCATACCTCTTCCATCTCTTGATCTCCCTGTCCTCCAGCATCTTCACATTTCAAGGAGAATAGTAAAAGGGTGAACTCTACCTCTGAAGAGTGCTGATCAGCCTAAGGCTAAGCACAAAGAGGTACAGAGCACATGACTAGGTTGCACTGGGCTGGAGGCTGGCAACTGTCTCCAGAAGAAGAGAGAAAGCGAACCTTGTTCCGAGAATGCACTGCTGATTACTCTCTAATATTTATTTTCTTTTTATTAGATTTTTGAAGACTATGAGAAATTGCTTCAGTCTGAGAATTATGTGACTAAGAGACAATCTTTAAAGGTAATTTCAAATTTCTTCAGTTAGACTCCCTCCCAGGTTGGTATCTCATTAGCAAACGATTAGTCTCTCAGTAGATGAGTAAATACAGAAAAATTAAAGTATCTTTGTTTTTGGTAACTTGAGAAGTAAGTAGGTTTTATGTTATGGCTGTACTTTGATGCAAAATAATTTAAGTGTCTTGCCTCCAGTGCTTTTGGAAGTAACAATATAAATTATAAGTACATGATAAATTTTATAATACTGCTTCTAAGAAAGAAAACCAAACTTAAGTTAACTTGGCTAGAACCATAGTTCTCTCCTAGGGGATGTTTTCTGGAAATGAAAAGATCTTACTCTTAGAGTAAACAAAGACAGGAATCACTCTTAATAAGGGAGACTCAGTGAGGCTCCTGTAATTCTCTTTCAGTATATCTTGAAATAGAATAGGCAGAAAAACATCATCTTATGTTTCTTATACATCTCTCTCCTAACTAGACTTGGGGAAGGGGGTGTATTTTGCAGAGAAGGGGAGAGGAAGAGGAAACAAGGACAAAATATGACACATAAAATGCAAAAATTAGATTTTGAAGTTTTAAGCACAGTAATTGTTACACTCTTAATATATTTATTTTTTAGCATAAAACAACTTTTTACTATAAAATGATATTTATGTAGTTGAAATGTTGTGGGGCTTCTGGTGTGTGTGTGTGTGTGTGTGTGTGTGTGTGTGTGTGTGTGTGTGTGTATGTGTGTGTGTTTTTTAGATTAGAAAATATAGTTTATTTAGAAGGTAAATTAGAAAGAGAGAAAAAGAAGAGATTCACCTCCCCAAGGGAAGGGAGAGGGCCACGCTTTAAAAAACATGGCCTGGTCATAGCTCAAAGAACTCATTGCCACACTATAACTTAGCAAGGCAATGACCTGGGGGCTTCTGTTTTATGGGAAGCATTTATCTCCTAGACTTGTAATATATTTTCCTAGAGAATTTTTTTTTTTTCATCATGTTTCATTGCTAGGTCTCTTTTCCTGAGCATTCAAGTCAGTCAGTGTATTACTGCAGGTCATTTTAAATACTGTCATCACCTAACATGACATATTCAAGTTATATTTACAAAAGGGATTTTGAAATATGAAACATGGTCATTCCTTTAGAATTAAAAGAATAATGTTTAAAAAAAATGAACTCTAGCAAACAGATATGTGAGAAGGCCACTTGATCACATATAGAACACTTTACTTTTCTGAAAAACTGCCAGGATTACACTGAAAAACAATCTGGAAAGAGGTTGAAAGATGGTGTAGCTAGCAGGGAAAGAAAAACGTCAGTTCTTAATTACCTATACACAGCTTAGTTGGATGAATTATTGAGGAAGGAAGCATGAGGGAGGTAATAGAACAGCCATTCCATTAGTCAACAAATACGTGTTCATCTTCCAGACATATGGTGGCAGCCAAGAACAGCTCTGTGGACCTCAACATTCTGTGGGAGGAAAGCAGACAGGAGACAGTAAACAAATACATCATTTTCAGGTGGTTTTAAGAACTAAAAAGCAGGGTAAGGGGGCAGAAGACGATGACTGGGGGGATAGATATGTGTGTGCCAGAGTAGCTGGAGTGTCAGCCAGCCCCTTCCCTGACAAGTTGGTCTTTAAGCAGAGGCCTAAATCTGTGAAAAATCATGGTGACTCTGGATAAGGGTATGTGTGTGTATGTGTCCATAAAACCAAATGATAGCTGGGCACGGTAGCTCACGCTTTTAATCCCAGCACTTTGGGAGGCAGAGGCGAGAGGATTGCCTGAGCCCAGGGGTTTGAGACCAGCCTGGGCAACTTGGTAAGACCTTGTATCTACAATAAATCAAAAAATTAGCCAGGCATGGTGGCACATGCCTGTAGATCCAGCTACTTGAAAGGATGAAGCAGAAGAATCACCAGAGCCCAGCAAGTCAAGGCTGCAGTAGCCATGAGTGTGCCACTACACTCCAGCCTGGGTGACAGAGTGAGACTCCAACTGAAAAAAAAAAAAAATGACATCTGCTATTTGAGGCTTTTATCTTCCTATGAAATGCCTGTGGAAATGACAGGGAGCCCAGTGGAGTAAGGTCACATCCATTCACAAGTGACCCTGCCACCCCTAGTGGAAATGTGCCTGAAGCTGCCATTTGGCCAAGGGGAGGTAGGAGAGTGCTTAAGGGGAGGAGAAGTGGGATGGAGCTGCATCCCTGCCCTCCACATCTCACTCCCATACTCAAAAGAACGTTTCTGGCAGATAATAGATTGACTGTTTTTAGTTAAGCAATTTGTATAGTGTTCCAGTTTGCTAAATATCACACTTGTATTATTTTTACATGTCAGGATGATGACATTCATAGAACAGTACATTTGCTTCTAAATATTGGATACAATTCTAAGCTAGGGCAGTCAATTCAGTCTATTTTGTATTATGTTTTTGATGATTTAGTTTGTCCATGATCTTGCATTAGCCATGACCCACATTCTGCCTGTTTTTTTTTTGCCTTCACTGAGTGTTAAACGGAAAGGTCAGTTTTCATCCAGTCATTCAACACTCTTTATGGAGTTTTCCCTTTGGGTTGAAAGCCTTTCAAGGAGATCCATCAAGGAAAGCCCACAGTGTGCTGCCGTCTGTGCTAGAGCTTATAGTGATGAGACCAAACTGTGCGTGGAACTGACCTCCAGGAGAAGACAGTGACCTCAGTGCTGTGTTCTTCCTCGTCCAGAATACTCACTAGAAGCTGATGAAAATAAGGATATGTCCTGTTGACACAACCATATCTTGTTTTGTGAAGGGCTCCCCAAGGATAGTCACAGCTAGAGGAGACTGTCCATAACACAAGAGATGGTGACCCTGGGAGGAAGGTGGCAATTGGAATAGTCAGCAGAGATGTCAGTGCTCTGAAGGGCCAGCATATGGGAAACTGCTCATAAATTTTCCAAATCCTTCTTCTTTTTAGTGGGAGTCTGTCAGATATTGGACTAAAGTACAGAGGTTCAAATGAACTTAAGTGACTGAACCAAACCATGAAGAAGAAAGCGGAAGGTCATAGTCTTTAGAATGTGTCCTTGTACCATTTTCAGCTGACTCAAGGACTTGTGACAGGATTTTTTTCTGTGATTGACCATCTCCAGGACCACAAGCAAAGTCACAAAGCTGGCACTGTTTTCTTTACCCAAGGATTTTTCTTCCAGTCGTCTTCCTGCTTTCTCTTTCCTGCTATCCCATTGTCCCCTCCTACTCCTGTACCCTTTGCCCTAATTCTCCTCTCGGGTGTCTTCAGCCTCACTTTGTCCTCTTCCCCCGTTAACATTTATAAGGTAGTTAGAGCAGAGCCTAGTTCATGGTAAAAACTATTGACATTTATTAAACAAATCAAGCTAAATTCCATAAATAAATATTCCTTGTCATTATCCCCAGAATTCATTATCTCCAGAGTTAAGTCTCTGGAAGAGATTGACCTATTCTATATTATAATTATTATTACTATTTGAGTCAGAGTCACACTCTGTCACCCAGACTGGAGCATAGTGGCACGTTCACGGCCACCGCAGCCTCGACCTGCTGGGCTATGGCGATTCTTCCTCCTCAGCCTTCCAAATAGCTGGGACTACAGGTACCATGCTCAGCTAATTTTTTTATTTATTGTAGAGACAAGGTCTTGCCATGTTTCCTGGGCTGGTCGTGAACTCCTAGGCTCAGGCAATCCTCTTGCCTCAACCTCCCAGAGTACTGGGATATTGTAGGCATGAGCCACTGCACCTGGCACTAATCTAATTAATAATTGGGACTAACTAGAGTGTGAATAAGACTTATTCCTACCAGAATGCATTTGCATTTAAAAATAGAAGCCTGTCCATGTGGTAAGTGTGTTATTGATACGGTATATAAGGCAAATTCGAGAGGCAGCAGAGGGGGTGAAAAGTTCCTTTCTTGCCACTGTGTATCCTTCTACCCTCCTTCCCATGATTTTCCAGCAAGAGACCTCCATGCCGTTCCCAGTGACATGGATAAGGAGCAGGCCATATTTGTATGTGGCATGGAAACTCCCTTCAAACTCTCTCTTTTCAAACTGTTTGTGTTTCCTATGTATTTACAGATGCTTCAGCCTATTCTGAGGCATTTTTCCTGTTCTTCATGAATCTACCCAAACATACTATTGGTTGCTGTTCCTACCTGAAATCTTTATGAGTAGGAGTCTCACAAATAGTTTATTTACAGGATGGTAAAACCAAGTACTGGTTGGATAGTGGTTAAAAAAAAAAGAAGAAGAAGCACCTGACAAAAGAGGAATAAATTAGTATACTAAGAATGCAGAAAATGTTGAAATGGTTACTTAAGAGTTGGCTTTTTTGAATGTCAGATTATAGGCAAAGATATTACTAAAATGGTCTTGTATCACTCTGTTTAAACAAACAAAAAGGTAGATAACTGAAATGGGTTCATATATAAGCATCAAACTCATGAAGTATTGTTTGCTCCTTTTTTGATAGAAAAATGTTATTCTGTGATGTTCGACTAAAACAATTTTGGTTTTTCCTTTTAAGAATTAGATCTGGTAGCAATGTGTTCTATTGTGACACAACTATGTTTATATGTATGGATTCCGTAATTTTTTTACATAGATATTTCATAATCATAGGAAACAAGAGAGGTTAGATTATTATAATAGCGACTTTGTAAGTAATAACTGTCTTAAGTAGTAAGCTATTTTTTGATTCCAAAGTATTTGTTACCTGCTGCCTTTTGTTAATCACATTCTAGATTTTTCTGAGCCATCTTGGGCTACTTGATTCCTGGTGTCAATAAAAAATAATTAACAGGGAAATTCCTTTCCCTCATGTGACAGAGCTTAGGAATTTATTTATCTTCTTCAGAGGCCTGACATTTAATTACCAGCAAGAAAGATTATAATTCAAAAAAAGCTTGGTAGAATTTGGAAAGTTTCTTGAGCTCTGATCAATTTAATTAAAACACTAGGTTTTAAAACTTATTTCCTCTTGCTTCATGGTTTTGTTATGTACTATGAGGCACACAAAATAGGAAATTAGAAGAAATAAAATATGACTGTTTTCCATTTACTTGGTAGTTCTTGCTCTATAGTGCTTTGTGTTATTATGGAATGTAGCAATTTGTCATTGTTGATATTAGTTAAATAGATTAACATTCAATGGCTAAATGATTCAGTGTTGTTAGTCAAGTGATTTAGCACAACTCATTGTTTCAGAAAAGTTGTGAAATTGTATTAGTAGAGGATAGAGTGGATAGAATTTATATGTAGGTATCCCCAGGTAATAAAATTTGAAGTGACTTAATCTCAATTTAACTCATCAATGTTACTTCAACAAATGTGTCTTGAGTATGTGCATATGTATGTGATTTTTTAAAAATGAAATTCCTTTTTTGCTGAAACCTTTTTGATATGTCTGTATATGATATATATGTGTACATACATGGTATTTGACTCTGTCTTCATATATCTATCTTTTTTTTGAAAGTAGGGTTCATTGAGAGGTCAGAAAAGCTCCCACAGTGGGAGAGAACCTGAGGGGGTTGCCCTCTGCATATATCTTTAGAAGGCAAATAAGTCTCTTGACAGCTTCACAACCAGAAGGTTTTGTTTTTGTTTCTGTTTTTTGGAGGGTCTGGTAGCCATTCCTTTTATAAACATTTAGGGAGCTCCTATCTCCCTGTCACTAGAAGAATTTAACCTAGGTGCTCTTCTCCAAGTTGTAACCATTCGCTTGTTAGAAGATAAGAGTAATTTTATTATTCAGAGAAATAGCAAAGACAAATGGCTACATCAGTTGCCAGGGGAATTTGGGGTGAACTATGAAAGAGCTTATAGAAATCGTGCTGTCAATTCCTCTCCTAGGGATCAGGTTATCCTTTGTCTTGAGGACATGTGTATGGGATGGCTTGGCTATATAAATAAGGTAGAATTTTACTGTTTCTGTGATCTCTTTTTTTACAGATTACCTACCATATTGTTCTCTGGGTGTGCATAGTCAATAATAAAACAGCTTTCCTTCCTTCCTTCCTTCCTTCCTTCCTTCCTTCCTTCCTTCCTTCCTTCCTTCCTTCCTTCTTTCCTTCCTTGTCAGAGTCTTACTCTGTTGCCCAGGCTGGAGTGCAGTGGCATGCTCATGGCCACAGCAGCCTCTCCCTGTTGGGCTCAAACAAACCTTCTGCCTCAACCTTCCAAGTAGCTGGAACTACAGGCATGTGCCACCACTCCCAGCTAATTTTTGATTTATTGTAGAAGCCCTGCCAAGTTGCCCAGGCTGGTCTCAAACCCCTGGACTCAGGCAATCCTCTCACCTCTGCCTCCCAAAGTGCTGGGATTACAAGCATGAACCACCACACCTGGCTAAAACTGCTTTCTTTCTTTTCTGCATTTTGTGGAGAGGATTCTGTGTTGGTAGGACTTTATTGTCCCCAACAATATCCACGCACGTCATGCAGTTGGGATGTCTGAGGATTTGAAACACACTCTTACAGAGCCGGCACGTGAAATAGGCTCACTAAAGACTCAGTACTGCAAGGCAGAGTGAATTCCACTGGAGAGAAGAGGAAAGGCTTTCTCAAACATAGTATCTGGGCTAGTCCTGAGAGGATGGGTACCGTCTGAACAGGCAGAGAGGAGGTAAAAGAATTTTGCAAAAATTTGGAGCCAGAGGAGTGAAACTACAGAGGTGGAAGAGTGAGGAAAACTGAGAGATAGAGCCGAGGACAGAAAGCAGTAGAAATGATGCCAGGTCACAGAGGGCTTTGAATGCCATCCTAAGGAGTTTACTTTTTTCCCCTAAATCCATGGGAATCTAGGTATTTGTTTGTTTATCCAGTGACTTTATAAGTGGAATTAGTAAAAATACAACCGATTTCCAGGAAGATTACTTTGACAAAATAAGCAAAATGGATTGGCTTGGTGAAGACAGGAGAGACCACTGTGCATGCTGTGTAGTAGTCTAGCAGAAAAGTAATCAGAGTTTGAGTGAGAATACTGACTGTAAAAATGGAATGAAAGATGTTCAAGAGACATTTTAAAAACAAAAATAGTAGATCTTGGATGTAGATGTTATGTGAGCAGCAAGGAAAAGAAAGGAGCAGAGAAAGACATTAACTGTCGTCCCTACAGCAGGGGTTCCCAACCCCCAGGCCACTGATGGAGCCTGTTAGAAACCAGCTACTCAGCAGGAGGGGTACAGTGGGCTACCAAGCTAAGCTTCATCTGTATTTATAGCTGTTCCCCAATGCTCACATTACCACCTCAGCCCTGCTTTCTGTCTATCAGTGACCGTATTAGATTCTCAGGAGCACAGCCCCTATTGTGAACTGCGCATGTGAGGGGTCTAGGCTGCACCCTCCTTATGAGAATCTAATATCCCTGATGATCTGAGGCAGAGCTGAGGTGGTGATGCTAGCGCTGGGCAGTGGCTGCAAATACAGATTAACGTTAGCAGTGAGGTTTGACTGCCCATCCTTCTCCCGCTCTGCCCATGGAAAAACTGTCTTCCATAAAACCAGTCCCTAATGTCAGGAAGGTTGGGGACCGCTGCCAGCAGAGTGTCCACAAGGGGCTGCCCAGTGGGCAGTTAGAAACATGGTCTAGCATTTAGGAAAGAAGTTGAGACCAGAAGTGTAGATTTATTTTTTGTGGTTTTTTTGAGTTGGAGTCTCACTCGGTTGCCCAGACTGTAGTGCAGTGGCCGCTCCCGGCCACCGCAGCCCCGCCTGCTGGGCTCCGGCGATCCTTCCGTAGAAGTGTAGATTTGGAGGCATCCTCCTCAATGTTACAGTTGAACCCATGAGTATGGGTGAGACTGTTGGGAGATGAGAGACCCAAGTAGACAGCTTGGAAGATTGACAACCTGAGAGTGCAGAAGGGGGGAGGAGGAGGGGCAGGAAAATAGTTAGCAAAGGAACAAGCTGCAAGAGATAAGAAAAGAAGAAGCAGTGGCCTTGAAATCAGGAGCAAAGAAAGTCTCCAGAAGAGTGTTGAGTTAGCTTCAGAGGCTGCAGAAACTAGGGAGGATGGAGGTGAATAATTTAACTATGCAGTTGCTATTTCATGTGCATGAGAATGACTAGTGACCAGCCAACATCCAACAGTAGTCATCCTTTTATTTTTTCAGATTTAACAATTGTTATTTTCATACACTAAAGTAACTTTAAATTGTGCCATTCTTATTTATTATTAATAAATAGACAAAAGATGCATCATAGGTAAAGATTGTTGCTTACTGGTGTTCTCTCTCTCTCTCTCTCTCTCTCTCTCTCTCTCTCTCTCTCTCTCTCGCTCTCGCTCTCTCTCTCTCTCTCTCTCTCTCTCTCTCCCACACACACACACACACACATATTCACATCTGGGCCTCTGTTATGATAGACAACCATGCCTCAGTTTGATGTGATTTCTCCTCCCATCCAGGATTTCTATAACCATGTAATGATGTATTATTATCCTGAGGCCGCCAGAAAAAGTCCAGGAAATAGGACAATTGAAAATGAAGTGTATCTCCTATATAAAATTATATTACGGTGCCTTTCAACCACCTGCTTGCTGAACCTTTAGCAATTGCTACCATTACAGTGGGAACAAAAGTTTCAAGCCAGATATGGAATTGAGACCTGGAATCCCAGCATACTGGGAGACAGAGGTAGGGGGATTGCTTGAGCCCAGGAGTTCAAGACCAGCCCAGGCAACATAGCAAAAATATGTGTGTTTGTGTGTGTGTGTGTGTGTGTGTGTGTGTGTGTGTGTGTGTGTGTGCGCGCCAGGTGTGGTGGCACACACCTATAATCCCAGCTACTTGGGAGGCCCTTGAGCCCAGGAGTTGGAGCCAGGAGTTGGAGCTGTGATTGTGCCACTGCTTTCCAGCCTGGGCAACACAGTGATACCATACCCTGACTCAAAAAAAGAAGTTTCTGAGATAGTTACAATAATACAGTCAGCCATGTTGCTAGAGGGTCTTCAGCTGTTCTAACATTGGGTATTTTTGTTCTAGAATAATGATGCATTTGGGAAACTATTATTTGTTCCCAGAAAATGTTTTGCTTTCCTTTTTATATAAACTTGCTGTACTTTCTAAACTTGATGTGGATTCAGTATCAATAATTTTTTCTGGCTCTATATCAGTGTTTAAAATAAAAGTCAGGAGAAAGGTATAAGTCACTTAACATAACTGTCTTTCTAGTTAACTACTGGAGTATATTTATTCAGGTAAAGGAGGAGTAATTATAGGGACAATTTTGCTGTTCCTAGCACCTGAATGCCTGTGGAGCAATATGTTAATGGAAAGGAAGATAATTAAAATAAGCATTGAAAATAATACATTCATTTCTAGCTAGCTCTGGGTGAGCTGCAGCAATAGCTAGAAAAATGCATTAGGCACCAATGTTAGCCAAAAACAACAACAACACATAAAATGTTTAGGCATGGTAATCTCAGCACCTTGAGGGACCTAGGCAGAATGATCGCCTGAGGTCAAAAGTTTGAGACCAGCCTGGGCAACATAGACCCAGTCTCTACAAAAATAAAATATTAAAAATAAAAGCATAAAATAGCGACTTTTTTTAAATGCCTGTGCTTTAAGATGCACTTAAAGACTCCAGTATTTTTCATACCGTTCTTACTCACATTGATATTTTGTTTTTCATTGACAAGTGGTAACGTATATTTTGTGTAAGGTGACTCTGAGATTATAGCTTTGATTTTGTGTTCCTTGTAGCTGCTAGGTGAGCTGATCCTGGACCGCCACAACTTCACCATTATGACAAAATATATCAGCAAGCCAGAGAACCTGAAACTGATGATGAACCTCCTTAGAGATAAAAGTCCCAACATCCAGTTTGAAGCCTTCCATGTTTTTAAGGTAAATTACAAGCAATGGAAATAATGTTATAGATTTTTAAATTTCAGTTTCAAATGACAAACTCCCTGCTTTTTACTCTCCTTTATACTTGAGAGAAAAGAAAGTAAGCAGTCTTTCTTTTTTTAATGATTTAGATGACATTTTAGAGTTCTTTTAATGAATGTTCATTTGTTTCTAAAAGGTTTGCTAACCAACTCACACATCTACATATTTTCATTTCCTTTTTTTTTTTTTTTTTTACTGAAAAAATGGGTGGTACTATTTCCCCCAAATAAGTAAAAGAAATCAGTGATCGATCTACCCCAAACCCTGAGCGTCAGCTTCTGAATCTTTTGCTTCCCACAAGCACTGTCTCTTGAAATGTTAAATGAAGCCCTGAAAAAACACACGGGAACTACTCATTTTATTAATGTATTAGAAATATTTTTTACAATGCATTTTGCTATGATAGAAGAGTAGCTCCATAGCATGTTTTTTTTTCTTTCTGATTTTTAAATATAAGTCATAAAATCACCTCCCAGAAACTTTGGATGATAGAATAAAAAAAGAAGTAGAGTAGGTGGGAGAATTGCAATGTAATTCCATACTCCTAACCTAACTATTGTAAACAGTTTAGTACATTTTATTTTCCTGTGCAAATATTTGAGTTTTTTTCCCCTACAACTGTATTCACATTGTACAAACAGTTGATATCCTAATTTTATAACTTAATGCAATACCATAAGTAAACATTTTCATTATTGTTATATATGGTGGTTATAGCTAGCAGTTTTATTGGCATTGTAGATTATCATTGGGCATATTTCTTCTAGTTTGCTTAAACAGTTCTATCATTGATATTTAAGTTGTTTTCATTTGTTCTACTATACATAATACTGCAGTGTGCATTTTATGTATCTGGCTTTTTTTATCATTAGGATTATTTTCTTATGATAGATACCTAGAGTAGAAATAAGAATTCAGTGAACTCTGATGTTTTTTGGTCTTTATAATGTGTATTCAGTGATAGAATGTATAGATCTATAAATAGAAAGCATGGCAGTTTGTAAGGTAATTATTGCTTTGAATGGTAATAAAATTTTAGTTGATCTTTCAGCTAACAGATATTTATTTTCCAAAAAGCCACTGGAGCAGTTAAATCCTGAATTAATTTATAAATTGCATTCAATTTCATTTGAAATCTCAACAGTACTTTTCCTGGAATCTGACAAGTTGATTCTAAAATTTGTGTGGTAGAACCATGGCTTATGATGATCTGTGGCAGTTTGGAAGAATGAGGTAGGGGCATTCACCCCACCAGATATTAAGACTTATTATGGATTGACAGTAAATGAAGATGGTATTGTATTGACTTAGAGATATATAGAGCAACAAAACAGAGTAAAGGGCCCAGAAATAAGCCTACACCAATGTGAAACTTGATATTGATAATGTAGGGATTACAAATCAATAAATGCTTCTTAGATAATGGGTTATCCATGTAGAATACCCTACACTCCACTATACACAGAAATAAATTCTAGGTAAAGATCTGCACTTGAAAACCCAAATTGTTTAACTTTTAGAATAGAAATATGTTGTCTTTATGATATTGGAGTGGGAAGAATTCCTATAAAAATTGCAAACCATAGTAGAAAATACTAATGTGTAACTACATTAAAATTTAAAACTTCTGTTCAAAATGTCTAAGACATCATAAGCGAAGTGAACAGCTAGGATAGAATGTGACATATATAAGTGACAAATCATGAAGAAAAAGATGAAAGGAAAACAGGAAAAGGATACAAGTTGGTAGTTTTCATATGCGGAAACCTGACTGGCCAATAAATGGGTGAAGGTGCACATCTGACTTGTAATTGTGAAAATGGCCATTAAAATATCAATGAGACACCATTTTACATTCTTCATACTGGCAAAAATGCTTGAGTCTGACAATATCACATTTGTGTAAGGTTAGAGAGCAGTGGGAACTGTCATACATGGTATAAATTGGTATAATACTTTGGGGAGTTTAGTTTTATTCTGGATCACAGAATTGAAAGTGTGAATACCCTTAAACTCTGAAATTCATTTCTAGGCAATTTCCTAGAGAAATTATGGACATGGTCATAAAGAGTCAAGTACAGTAAGTCCTCACTTTTTACTTCATCCATAGATTCTTGGAAACTGGAACTTTAAGCCAAACGGTGTATAATAAAATGTTTCTTTCCTCATCAACCTTATAATGAAACAATGTTGTTTGAGGACCTGCTGTACATTGTCAATTTCCAAGAACCCGTGATTACATTAAGAGAGTACTTACTGCCCAAAGATGTTTATCACAACATTGTTTACAATGGGAAAAAACATAAGTGGACATCAGTGGGAGACTGGGAAAATAAGTTGTGCTATATTCGTACAATAGTACTATCATAATAGGTTAAAATAGAGCTATGTGGATCAGTGTGGCTACATCTCAGAGACGTTTTATTGAGTGGAATAAGCAAATGTGAAAAAGATGTCACTTATTTAAAGTTTGAAAACATGCAAAATAATACCATATGTGAATTCATACATATGCAGTTGTAGTCTAAAAACATGCATGAATGGCAAATACCAAATTCAGGATATCGGTCAACTCAGGAGAGGGTAGGGAAGAGAATGAAAGATGCTGTGTAGAAGTGTGCAATAGCCTTCAATTATATTAGTGATGCTTTATTTTATTTTAAAAAATCTTAAGGCAAGAATGGCAAAAATGTTAAATCTTGGTAGAGCTGATGGTGGGAGCGTGAAGTCTAATACATTATTCCTTGTACTCTTCTCTGTGTTGGAATTATTTCATAAAAAGTAAATAAACTGAAGGAAACAAAAATAAGAGTGCTGTAGGACTGGAAAATGTCTACATAATAAAAACAACAGACCTTCTCACAACCCCGGGACTGAAGGAATTATAGAAGGATGTGTGTCATGTCATTTAGCCCCCACAGAACTTTAAGTATTACTCTAGATCAGAAAAAAACTTTATATAATTTTGTATAAAAAGTGCCACATAATAGAAGGATTCAGTGGGTAGCAAAATAAAAATAACCTATTTCCATCCTCTGAGAAGATCAGAATTTGGATCACCTCATCATTGGACAGAGTAGGTACATTTAAAAATAGTTGACCACTTGTTTACTTGTATGTGTATAAATTGGCCTACCCAGTACCTCAGCTATGTTCTTTCCACTGAAGTGTGAACTAAATTGTTTATTTGCCAAAAATATTGTTATTTAGAAAAAAATAACAGCTGAGTCCTAGAATTTTTTTTGTTGTTGTTGGAGTCTTATTCTGTAGCCCAGGCTGGAGTGCAGTGGCTCCATCAAAGCTACCACAGCCTGACCTGCTGGGCTCAAACTATCCCTCTGCCTCAGTCTTCCAAGTAGCTGGGACTGCATGCACCCTGCTAAATTTTTTATTTATTATAGAGATGAGGTCTCACCATGTTGCCTAGTCTGATCTTAGATTCCTGAGCTCAGGCAATCCTCTGTCCTCAGCCTCCCAAAGTGCTGAGATTACAGGCATGAACCACTGCACCTGACCCTAGAATTTTTAAGTTGCTTTTCCATATAATTTTGAAGTAAATGCCTAGTTTCCTACCTAATTTCCACAATAGTGTGAAAAAATTATATATCCTAAAGACTCGAATTTCAAAACACCAAAGCAACCATAATAACAACAGTGTTGGTAAAATTTTAACATTCTGTAGCTCACAGAGCACTTTCCCTGACAAAATGTCATATCATCCTCACCTCATCTGTGAAGTCAGGCAGGTGTGGTCTCCTCATTTCATTGATGAGGAAACTGCCTCTCTGAGAAATTAAGTGACAGGCCTGAACCTGTACAGACCTGGCCATCTTCTGCCTTCAAATCCTGTGTTTTTCTTCTACGTATCTCCACATACATGTAGGCAACTGAGGCTGGTAGATTACAAATGGCAAAGTGCCTCTTTTCTGGACTTTGTGTTGTAGAAGCTCTTTGAGAACAGATATTCTTGTCTGATGTTTTTTTTCCTCTGCTGTATCACCTAGCACCTAGAAGAGTCCCTGGCACCTTGTATTTATTAAATATTTAATTAATGAATGAATAAGTGAATTAATGTGTATGTAAGGAAAGGAAACTAAGAACATTTGTGCCTCTGAACCAGATAAGGCTGCCAGGTAAAATACAGGATGCCCAGTTTGTTAGTTCAAGAAAACGAGCAGATAGGAAAAGAGAGACTGAAAATGGGTAGCTCAATGGCAACACAGGTTTATTCCAAGGAGGAGACCCTGGTGGGGGGTGGGGGTAGTCCAGGAAACTGAAGCCTACTACCGCTTATAGGCTAGGGCAGTTATAGGGCCTGGGGGGAGAATCTGTGTGGTTGGCGTTGCTAGGGGGTAACTAAGACTTGTGGTTAAGTAAGTTGAGAGGAAGCCTTGCGGTTAGGCTAGGTGTTAGAATGCGTTGCGGCCTAGTCTGGTTGGTAATTTTCCATCTCGGGCAGCTAGCAAAGTGGCAGGAGTGTTTAAGATGGTGTTACCTGGGCTCACACAGGTAAACTTGAAATTCAAATTTAACTGGGCATCTTCTTTCTCTTTGCTAAATCTGGTAACTCTAAACTGGAGAGACGTCTATCAGTTTTCAAATATCTGGACAAGAACAGAGTCCTGTGTAATAACACAGTATTAGTTTTTTTAAAAATCCTTTCTGCAAAATGTTTGACAGGCATTATAATGTTAAATAGCCATAGCTGTTCTAATTGGAGACTATTTAGACCCTTCCATTCAAGCATACTCCTTCAGAACCTTGTAGATCTGGAGTTTGTGTTTTGTGCAGGTGGTCTCACCTGGGAAGTCTTGATCCATGTCTGCACGTGAGGCTGGGAGGGTGAGGCAGAGAGCATGTGTGCATCACACTCACCCCTAACCCACTGGTGAAGCTGAAGGACTCTGGGGACAGCAGCCCATAAAAAGGGTTCCGAATGGCCATTCTGGCTAATA